ATTTGGTACTTGACTAATTCTGTTAACATCATTTTGAATATTGAACTACTTTTAATAGTCTTTTTGGGGACTCAAATTACATATTTCAACTGGTATTCTGTTTTCACTGTTACACAGAGATTCAGCTTTCCATTTGTTATCTGACTGGTGGAGAGAGTGGTAGAAACAGAAAGGGTTTGGACAAAGGAGGCCATCCACTGTCATTTACTGGAGGCACATAAAGAAGATACAAGTTTCAGACTTTGAAATCTTTATGTACAATCAGATGAATTTTAAAGGTGATCTGCTGATCTCTGAAGTTTAAGCAGGCAGTGTACACTGTTCTAACATCACTTGCTACATTTAGTCATTATTCAGATCATTTTCTTTTGACATCTGTCAAATTCACAATCTTGATTTTTAGTGCTTCAGCATAATACTGTCAAACTGAAAGAGAAATATTCCAGAATCTGGAATGGTGTGTTGCTGGTTGGGCTTTTTTTGTGTGTGTGTGTGTGTTTTTAAGGTAAATGGGCCCCATTTACATTTGTTCTTTGATGTTAAATTCTTTGCTGCACATCAGAGAACAGTTGCTTCTTCCCTGGAGCAAATTTTCTTTCTTCTTCTTCCCCCACCCTTTGATTTTTCTTTTTTTCCTCCAGTTTCCTTACAGTTTTATCTTACTAATTATGGAGGATCAGGTTATGTATGGCCATCATTTAGCTAGTTGCAGGCATTTTGAGAAGTGCTTATTCCATAGCTGGTACCCTAAACAGATTCCTTAACTCTGCTTCTCTGATAGCGACTATGGGTGTATTATCTAGCAAAAGCTATCTTTGTGAGATTGTAGTTTTGCATGGCTGAAATTGAAGTCACATTGAAACACTGCAGAATCCATTGCAAGACTGTGATGGATTCACATACAGATGATCAGGATGGCACTGTGCCAGATCTCAGTGTTTGGGCTGCAGCAGTGAGGGTTCCTATCGATTTTGTAGCACGATAGAAATCCTATTTCTAACTTTCCATCCAAAAATCGCCATTTTGGAGCTGAAAGATTTGCACAGATTTGTGCCACTCTAAAATGAATGACCACATATAAGCAGCCACCTTGTTGATAACCACTCGAGACAGCCTAGATGTTAGCAAAATGCATTGTCCTCATGCATGCACGCCCTGCAGTGCCATGGGAGCAGCATCCCTGCACCTCCCCATCAGCCTTCAGCAGGTGCTTGGCTGCAGTGTGTTCAGATAAAGGTCTGGTTCTATTGAATGGAACTGCATCTAACAGCTTCCTATACATCTTACACACTAAAAACTGCACGTGAAGCTGTGTGTGTAGGCCATGGCACAGTCTGTGTTTGGAGTACGGTCATATCGTGGTAGAAATTTTGCTTCTTTATTCTTAGTAATGTGGCTCTGTTTCATGAAAGGCAAAAATGAAAATCAGATGGTGTCAGAACGGCACCCATTAGTTCAGATATCAATCACATCTGTATTTCTAATGCTGTTTTTAATGCTTATGTGAAATACTTGGTTGAAGTCGGTGCAGTTTTGCTCAGCGACCACAATAGGATGCTTTAAGGCTTCTTATAGAATTATGGTTGGTTTTTAAAACCAATTAACTGTAACCAGGACATAATCTTTTTAATGCAGAAGTCCTCACTCTGTAATATAGAGTAACTGCATGTAAAATTGTCATAATCAGATAATTTTAGCTAAAACGTGTATTAACTGTGTGAAACTTAACAGAAGTTAATTTTTGAATCGGTGGGATTCCTCTATGGCTTATCCAATTTAAACCTTTTTATTATAGAAATGGATATTACAATTGATATTTCTGACAAGTTTTTTGCCAAGCATGAATTTCAACAGCTACCTCTCACACACGGAAAACTAGTTTAAGACCATTAACTATATTTGCAGTGCTGCCCATTGCTATAAAAAGAGTTAGACTTTAATGAATACTGGCTGACCCTCCAAGTGTTCACCTTCCAGTTGGATTCTTATTCATTATGTTTCTGAAATAGCATGTAACCTGAAAGTGAGGGAATGCCCTTCAAGTAGTACAGAGGCAGCATGAGCTTTGTGCAATGCACGAGATGAGCAGCATGAGAGAAAAGAAGCCCAGGAAACTGGTTCTTGTGTACATTGTGCCATTTTTAACCTTCTCATTTGTCAAGATAAATGTAATATAAATCCTCAGCTATGTGTATTTACTTTGCTGTAAGTCTTTCCTGACAGAAAAAGGAGGTAAAAAGCCCTTCACTTTTTTTGTGTGGCAGTGCTTCATGTGCCCAGGGGTGCAGGTTTATGCTTCCCCAGGCTGCAAAGCAACAGCTGATAGTCTGGAAGTGTGTTAAATGTGGTTTAGCAGCAGGTTTGGAAAAGGGAAATGTTCTGTATTTCTGCAGTAAGAGAACACAATGGAAAAGTGTTTGTGAGCTTGGCCATGAATTAGATCTTTTCAGCTGACCATTGGATACAAGTAGGAGAAATTGCCTTCTGCTGAGCATTGCAGTGCCATCTGTGCAGTTTGTGATGGTGCAGGAGCTGTGAGGTGTTATGGATCTGGGGAGAAAAGCTGCATCAGCAGTGGCCATAGGGGCTGGGTGGGCAGTTTTAGACAGCTAGGGCTGGTCTCAATGCACATTTGCCATCTCCAGGGGAGTTTTGGTACCTCTGGAAGTCAAACCCCTCAAATAAGGATGCAAGGGAATGCAAGTGTTTGTTGTTGACTTGGAGACAACTGACTGGTATTTTGCAGGTTGGAATTTGTTGAAGCCATTGCAAAATAAAATGTTGTAATTGTGTTTAGATGAACTTGTCGGATGTACTTTGTCTTCAGAGAGGAAGAAAACACTGAAATTCAGCATCTCTTTTGTATCCCTTCTGTCATATCTGTCTCAGGTTGTCCTTGTTCTGTGCACTATGAACAAAGGAGTTTTGCTTTGTTTCTGAAAGTTATAGGTTTGTTTTAGTTCTTTATTGAGATTTCTTCAGGAGGTTTTCAAGCTGCTTCTGGGGGAGATGGAGATTTTTACCCCAGGCACGCTGAGAGAGCAGCTGCAATGTGATCTGTGCAGTGCTTTGCTGGCTGCTAGCTCTGCCATTCTGGGAGTAGCAGAAATTTAATCTATTGCAGACATTTATTTTTTTACTTTTTTTTCCTAAACTGACACTTTCAGTCACTTTCCGCTTTACCAACACTGCACATCAGAACCTGGATATGAGTACAGTGGCAGGAGTTAATGTGGGTGAGCCTGAGCACAAGGAGAAGTGCAGCACGGAGCTGACACAGCTCCTCCTGTGTTACTGCTCTCCTTATCATGCAGCCCTCACTGTGCCCAGGCAGTGCTTTCCATGGCACATCTGAAAAAGGTGGAACTTACTTTGTCTGATGCTCCAGAATTCTTATGTATGTTGTTTGCGGTATGTAGTGCCACTATCTCTATTTACAACAGCAACAAAGTGCTCTTGAAATGCTTAATAATTGATTTTGATTAACTATTTATTAGTACTGACTAATGCATGAAATATGGAGACCTCCATATGTTTCATAATCTCAGAATTTGAAGGGATTCATGGCCTTAAATTGCAGCATTGTGTAAACTCACAGATTATGTTGAACTGGCTGTAATAGACTTACACTAAGCTGCACCACGGAGCTGCATGATGCAGAGGATCTGAGCCTTGTCATGCTCTCCTGTAGTGCTTTGAAAACACTGTCTGCAATTTTAAGCCTCTACATTTAAAGTCCACTAAAATCAGTATCACCATTTGCTTGACCAGAGGGCCTCATGCTTGCAGAACCCAAGTTTAGCCTTACAGCTGGACCAACCCATGTGGTACAAAGAAGCTTTGAGGCCCTTTGGTGGCTGTGGTCCCCAACCCATGGGGCTGGCACATGAAACAGAGGGGACAGATCAAAGGTTGGAACACGAGGTCGCATTGATTTTTGAAAAGTTAATCAGCTTAAATTTGCTTCAGAACTCTGCTTCACAATGTTCCATCCCCACAGAAAATGTTTTCCTCAGATTGTAGAGCCAAGAAAATGAGAGTGCTGAGGAGCTCATGGGAGGGCCGTGATGTGATGCTGGTGTCAGTGTGATGCAGTGGGGTCTTATAAGAGAAATGGGAATCAGAGTTGTGTCCTGAAATTAAACTGAAAGTATGTTTTAATTATTGTTATCTAATTATTATGGAAAATAAAGTATTTGAGGGAAACCCTTATAAGCAGTTTTCCCCCAGAAGTAAGGAAGCATATCCTTATTGGACACTACTGTGCCTTGTTTTTGGTGGATTTTATTCTTTATCATTGAGCTGTGAATCACAGAATCACAGAATGGCCCAGGTTGGAAGGGACCTCAAGGATCACGAATCTCCAACCCCCTGCCACATGCAGGGCCACCAACCTCCCCATTTAATACTAGACCAGGCTGCCCAGGGCCCCATCCAACAAAAAGAAAAGCCAGGAGCAGGAAGGAGCTGTGGCCAAGGAGAGCCCACTTGAGCTGACATGCAGTTTGATCACAGCCTGGAACAAAGCAGGGGAGCGGGACTGAGCAAAAGGAAGCCGTGATGTCGGGCTGCCCCGCATAGTCTTGCTGTTGGTGCTGTACCCCTCTACAGCCTGTGCTGGGCTTTTTCCTTCCATTTTTCCTTCCTTTACAGTTGCATCACCCCGATAGACCGGTGGCTGCGTTCCTTCCTCCCCTTGCCACATGAACGCGCGCTCTTCTCTCTCTCCC